ATGCAAACTAAGCTGGAATGGGAGGGGTTTTGAACCAGCTCTTTCGTAATTGTGCATTTTGTAAGTGCTTAACCCTGTGGTGGAGGAGTGATGTGGTGCTCTGTGGTGCTGGGATCCTTGTGTACTGGAGTGTGAGCAGAAAGTTCTTTGGAAAGAAACTGCAGGTGGGAGCAGTGCTGTGGCCTGATGCTGAGGGTGAGTGGGTGCTTAGAGGCCTCAGAGGTGCCAGGGAGTTGAGAGCTGCTCTATAGGAACTGAGGGCACCCTTTGGAGCCACGTACCCCAGTTCCTCTCCATCAAGGTGGTGTGGTGAGCCGAGGGTCCCGGTGCTTTCACTCTTTCAGTAGATGAGAGCAAGGGTCATGCTGTTGGGAGAGGGCATTTGGGAGCAGAATCAGTCTCTGTCGTGCTCACCGTGTGCCTTTGACCCATGATTTTTCTCTTGCTGAGAAGAGTTTTTAGCTGTCGGCAAAAGAGTAGCCAAAACTCAGTGATTTATCTGCATGACTTCCTCAGAGAAGAAAAAGAAATGCAACTGTGTAATAAGTTCAGAAACCAGGACTTTAAAAACGTGAATCACATGGAGTTCTTCATGTTGTTTCTAAATCCAGGGAAATACCAGAAAACAAATACTTAGGTGTCCACATTCCTCTTAGAGGTTGAAATCAAAGGGCTAACTTCCAGCAAAGCCCAGCTGAAAGCAGGTACTCTTGGGGTGCAGAAACCTCACCCTCTCTCTGAGGGAAGACCTGGTTCTCCAGGTGCGTGTGGCTGGTGCTGGCGTGTTCAGACTTTCGTGGTACCTTCTGAAAGCTGGTCCTTCAGACAGTGTTTCCAGGCCGAGCAGGCTGGAAGGAGCTTGTCCTCTGTGCTGGGGCGCCGAGGCACACAGAGCAGCATTTCCTGGGGATGAGCTCTGTGCCCACTGGAGGTGTTGCAATCGATGCTGTGTGAAAAAGAAAACATTCATAGACAGAGATTTCCTGGAGTCTGTCACCCTGCCCTATCCGTTTTGACTTCTTTTTTTTTCACCAGGCATTTCCTTTAAAGTGAGACTAGATTTCTCTGATAGTCTTGTGCAGGTCAGAATGGATAATCTCCTTAAAAATGCTACTTTTAGAGGCATGGGGTAGGCTTAAAAAAGCATAGAAAGAAAATGTAGAGAGATATAGAGAGGATTGATGGCACTTAGCACCATTAATTGCCTTAATTACTTAGAATTTTTTTGGGGTAATATTTTGTGGAGAATTTCAGAAACTGTTCCTTCATATCTTGTACTCTGTGCTTTGTAGGTTACCTGCTACAGATGACATTTTGAGGTCTTTGTGTACACATTTGCTAATTGTTATGAAAAAAGAGATAGTAATTTTTTTTTTTTCCTATGAAATGTTAAGTTAGTTTGATTTCATGTTGCTTCTCTGAGTTATATTTTAGTTTGGTGCATACCTACAGTATAAAAACAATTTTAAAAAATCACGTTGGTGAAAGAGAAATGGTGGATGTTGAAATATGGGAAGATTTAAGGGTCATGTGGCCCACAGTCAGAGTTTCCTAAAAAGCCTGAAAATACCAGCACCTTATGTCATGTTACATTCATTCTGTAAATACCCGAAGGCAGGTATTTTGCTGGCTGAAGCAGAAGAGATGCTGTCTGCATTGTCCCTCGCCTCTGTTGTAGATGGATTCTCATGCTGCTGGGCTTTCTGTAGCTGGGGTTTGCTGCTGTGACGTACCAGCTGCCATCACAGGGCACAACAATCGGGGTGTTGTGGGGAGCTCAGGGCCATGCTCAGTGCTGTCGGCTCTGTGTGGAGCCTGCCTTGCCACGGGGAAGTGGAGAGTGCTGGCTGGACTGGAGGGGGTAGTGGAGACTGGGTGGGAGGTGGTGGGCTTGTGAGGGATGGAAGAAAGGAGGCTCGTTTCAGCTAGTCACAAAGGGGATTTGTGGCTGCTGAGGAAGGGCTGGGTAGGCAGCTGAGTCCCAGGGGCGAGTCTTGATTGCAGAAGGTCAATTCTGAACTCAGGGCAACATCTGAAAAGCATCCTGGAAGACTGCCAGTGACTGCATTTGGAAGACAAAACTTGAGCGAGGAGGAAGGCTGGGAGGGCTGGGGCGTGGGCTTTCAGTTTGTGTTTGCTGTGGGCTTCCTGCGTGAGCCCGGCCCAGCCTCAGCGTGCCCCTGGGCCAGCGGGGTGCCTGTTCTGCTCCTCCCAGTGCTCCCCGGGAGTGGGCTAGTCCCTCTGGGAACCACGTCACGGCAGTGGCCACGCTGGGGCACGCCAGGCTAGCTAAACGCCACCTTTGCCCTCAGGGAGGCTCAGCTGAGGAGGACTCGTGCACGGAGCAGGCCGGGCGGAGGCCTACAGGAGGCAGGAGCTGCTGCCCTCCCGCTGCGTGCCGGGCACACAGCAGACCTTGGCCGCTCGCTGTCCAGGCCTCTCCTGGCGCCTGGCCTTTACGGTTGTTGGAGAAGCCCAAGAGGCAAACGGACGTGCCTGTGCAGATGTTGTGCACATCTGCATGCCGTGTACCCACCAGCAGAGCCTGGCTGAGCTGTGGTAGCCGCAGGCTTCCTGCTGCCCTGCTCGCCTCCCTTCCTCCGGAGCCGTGCGCCTGGGCGGGTGTGAAGTGGAGCGTGGCTGCCCCTGGCTGCCTCCAGCTGTGCACGTCTGCGCCGGCTCCCACCGAGCTCTGATAACAGTTTAGAAATAATAGAAATTATGAGAGTCGAGGCCATTCATCTACTTTGGCCGTGGGCAGAGAACAAAAAGGGTATTGAAGTGGCATTAAAGTGAAATGGCACCGAATGTTCTACATCACCGTTTTATTTTACGTTTGTGGAGCAGAAGGCACAAAAATAACAAAAATGGGAACAACAATGTACATTAGCACACTTCTAACTCCATTTAGCCGCCTTTAGTTTAAATATTTTTGTGGTTCATCTGTGTTTTAAAGAAAGGAGGGAAAATTCTCCTGGCTCTCTGCCTTTGTTTGAGGAAGGGGATGGGCAGTACTTGGTGGCTGGCTCTGCTGTGTTGCTGTGGATGGGTAAATAGCTCTGCGTTTTGCTTGTCACCTGACAAGCTGGTTTATATTTAGACTAGGAGAGTAAGCGTGTGGTTTGGGTAGCTGCATTTTCACCTGTGCACAGGCCAGACCGTGTGTGCAGAGTTATCAGAATGAGGTTTTAATTGTCTGCGCTTATTTTTCCTGTGACTTATAGTCCTGCAACGTCAAACATGAGTTCCCTGAAAGCAAGGCACCCAAGGGAGAGGTGAAATCTGAGGAGGCTTCCTTAATACCAGCCAGCACAGCACAAACTTCTTTGAAGGAAGTTTGGAAAATCCTGTCGTTTTGGTATTATCATCTCAGTCTGATCTGAACACTGTGCCATGACACTGGACAGAGCTTTTGCTCATGGGTGGCAAACACCATCTGTGTCTGAATGCCATCCGTAAAGCTGTGGCTTTGTTTTCAGCTGACTTGTTGCTCTTGAGAACAGTATGGAAAACTCAAACTGGTGCGCGAGGGAACTTGACTATCCACTTTTACCTTCTCAGCACCCTGAGCAATTGAACACAAAAGCCTTTGTTCCCTGGTGACCTCATTCTTAAGATGGCTTTTAATTTTAGTCCTTAGTTTTGGGAAGAAATAATGGGAATTTGTCATTGACAAGAAGGCTGCATCTCTCAAATGTCATGTGAAGGATTCACTCCATAATTCATGGGCTGGCGAGTGTGGGTGTCAGAAGGAGGGTGTGTAATGGATCCGAGTGATTTCAGTTTGATGAAACTGTTGCTCTTAAAGGCAGCTTTTCTTGCCCTCGTGATATTTTCTTGACCCAGATCGCCATGCTTTTTGTTAACTCATCCAGATGTCCAGATATTTTTAGATTTTCTGAAGAGTGTGGTGTGTTTCTGGTTATTTTTGTACAGCTTATTCCCCTTCCAGTGTGGACAGGGACTTGCAGAGTAATAGCAGAGCAGTGCTGATTGATTTCTCTTCTTTCTGTCACTGCTGCACCAGCAAGCCATAATGTGTGTGTGTAGATGTGTGGTGCTTCCTGTCAGTCCTCTTCCCGTGCATTCTCTGAGTTTTGCTTTTTGTTTGAGGAGACACGTACTGCTGTTGGTGTGCTGAGACAGGGGCCTTCTCCCTCTACTGTGAGATGCAAATAAGAACAAATCTGCCTCATGCTGCTGGGGTCTGAATGTGGATGTGGACTATTGGCTTCCTAGTTGCTGGAAGATTGTAGCTGACTCGTACCTTCCAAAGGGGAGCGCTGGGTCTGCCAGCTCTAGACAGGCTGGAGGGGCTACCTCCTTGTGGTCAGCCACAGCCTCCCAGCAGTGTCCATGTGTCTGTCCTTGGCAGAGTAAATTAACCATCTGACTCCAGTCTGAACTGAATTAAGGAGCACTCGTATGATTTTCTCCTTACAGTCAAACTGAAGGTGTTACAAGCCCTGACAGAACTGTGCTAATAGATGAGTAGCACCAACGAAGTTGGCATTGGTGATCGTACTGTGAAACTAACCTCCTGTAGAGGAGATGCAGCCTTTCTTTCAGCGTTTATTCTAGTGTTTCTTGGAATGTGTTTGGGTGCAGATGCAGGAGGCGCCAGTGGTCAAACCCCATATTTCTGGGAGCTGCATGGGGCATGCCGATACCAAGTGTTGGGGCTGAGCTCTGCTTCAGGAGCCATCGCCTGTGGGCGAGGCAGGAGTAAGCAAGTACATGTTAGTTGTGGAGTAATCAGTTTTCACTGGAGCTTCCTAGGACAGCTGACAAAAGCTGTGAGCCATAAACATAAACTTTTTGAAAATGAACTCTCTGACACAGCAAGAGCTGTTGCTGCCACGGCGTCCACACGTACCTCTGCAGGAAGTGAGTCGTGTTCTTACAAAATCGTCGTCTGAAGGATTTGTGGCTTTGATGGCAATTCCCGTGCTGGGCTAAGTCAGCTCTCTTCCTCTCTCCAGGCTTCTCAGGCGTCAGGAATGTCTTCGGAGCCCCCTTCTGCCGCCGCGCAGCAGTGCCACAGCTCCCCGCCCTCGCCCGGCTCGCTCCACCTGCCCGAGACCCGCAGGGCGAGGGATCGCTCCCCGTCGCCCATGAGAGGGTACCTCATCCCCAGCCCCCTGCCCACCCGCCGCACCAGGACCTTCTCGGCGTGAGTACTGGGGAACCTGCCCCTCGCAGGCACCACCGAGCCCGCGCCCGGCCCTGCCGAGGCGAAGGGAGTCGGGCTGGAGTGGGGGGGTTGGGTCTGGATGGCTGCCTGGGTATTTTACTGTTTTCTTTTCTAGTGGCATCAGAATTTATTTGAGACTTCTGGTCCAAACCGCCTGTAGCTTTTCAGTGCTCTGTTTGCCTGAAGGATGTTTAGTCTTTTCCTCTCTTTAAGACCAGAGTTTTACAGGGAGGGAAAAGACACTGAGATTTTTCAGAACAGCCTCTCTTGTCAGAAGCTTTGCTCCATGCCTCTGCAGACACTGGGTTGTGGCTCTCGGGACCGATTGGTGTTTACTCATCAGCTCCACCTCCTCTTTTAGCATGACATCTTTTCACTGGCCCTAAAGCACTGGACCAGACCTCACTGGAGATTTTAGTTCTTTCACTCCTGACACCTGTGCTACCATCAGCCAGGTTACATTTTAGGGATGGTCCATGATCCTGTCCCTTTTCAGAGGGCTTGTTTCATTTTCCTGTTCAGCTTTCATATCTCCATTTAGGATTGCTGAAACAGATCTGTAAAAGAGTATGTTGGTTTTCAAAGTATGGACCCTGATCTCTGTGATTCTCTAAGATTATATGAGGTCTTCCATAAAGTGAGGTGAGGTTTGTTGCTGTTTGCAGTTACTTGGGGCAGTGATCCTACAGCAGAGCTGGCTGGCTTTCCCTGAGCTTTCCTGTAGCCCCGTGGCACAGTGCAGGCCCTTGGGAGCCCCCACCCAGAGGGAATACCTGCAGCACAGCAGCAGGTGGTGCTGCAAGGTTTGGCTGTTGCAAAAATATTCCCAGTGCCTGTAATGGGCCTCCCAGTGAGGTGCTGACCTGCAGAAGGCAATGTGGGCTTTTGTTAATCTCAGTGGCCTTCAAATCAGGATTTGAGGGTATAATGTGAAGCTGTGGTTAATCCATTGCACTTCTGCCAGTCTTGCACTTACTTCTGTGTAAAGTGGGGTCTGGCAGTGCTGAGTGGAACACTGGAAGTAAGATCTCAAACCTGCAGCTACCTTACTTTATGCCTCTTAATCTGGTTGGCAGGCTTCTCCCTCTTTGTTTCCTGCAGTTACCCAGCTCTTTTCTTCAAGAGTTATCCATGCGGATTTAAATAGCATCAATCTCAATGAAGTCTTGTATTATTACTTCTGTATTCAAATTGAGGTGAAAAGAACAGCAGCAGCAGCAGAAGAATTTATATGTTGTCAGTTTCAAAAATCTTCAAGTGCCTTAAACTTGGTAATAGAAGTAGGTTACTGAAAGGAAGATAATTGACTTGATAATTGGGATTGCCCTTGAAAAGCAATTCCAAGCTAGCTTGCCTCAGTGCTGTGTTAATAATGAACTCTTTGTAATTCTCAGCTGTTACTTCTAGTCTGGTTCTTACAGAACTTAAGAATTTATTTGGCTTCCACAGTTCTTTAATTGTTAATTATTGTAGGAATCTTGCTGTATTTGTTTGCCCTGAAAAATCAAAATAGCTCTAAATTTGTGTTTATTTTAGCATCCTCTTTAAACAAGAGGGGCTCTAGGTGAGCTTTGGCTCCACAGTTGTATAGAAAAGATGAATGTGACAGTGGCTTATTATTCAGTGGCATTATTTAATTTTGGTTCATTGCAAGTGTGGGGCCTTATTCCCCACAGTGCTTTATCTTCTTGAAAGATGCAGTTGAGCTTTAATGGCTTATTCAGGGCAGTGAGTGCTTTCTGTGCAACGAGCACTTGTGGGGTCAGGTGCATTGACAGCTTTACAGAGCTGGAAATGAAGTGTTGTAATGGAGATTTCTTCTTTCTTTAACACTTTCAACCGTATTTCTTTAGTTTGACTTAAGGAGAAGAACTGTTAGCACATTTCTAAATTATTTTATTTAGGCTTCAGTAAACTTTAAAATATTTGGGAAACTGTCAAAATTGGTGCATGTAACCAAGTGGCAGCAGAAGAGCTTACTGAGTTTGAAGAATTGCACCAAAATCCTCTTCTAACAGGGAAGCAACCTACCAGATAGTCATGGCATGGGCAGATCCTCATCTTATAACTCCTCTGTGTAAACCCTGGAAGATGTCTAAAACAATTTGTATGAGTAACAAAAGCATCTGAGGGAGTTTGGATCCCTGGAGATTAAATCATTTTCCCCATCAAATATGTTGACTTGAATCACACAGTTTTTGGACTGGGTCACAGTTCAGCTAAGTTTTTCTTGATAGCAGTGAGCCTTCCTAAAGGCTTGTCTTTGTGTTTGCCTTGTTTTAAAATGCAGGTCCCATGGCAGTGGTGATGGGTCTGGAGGCTGTGAGCTGTGCACACCAGCTGGGCTTTGCAGCCTGCTGGGGTCTTCTGGGGGTGAAGTAGTGACTTCACTGGAGCCTGGTCTGGCTGGGTAACGATAGACATGCACTCAGAAGGGGTGTGTGGATCTGTTCACATGGTGTGCACACATTTCTACATGTCTGCATGTAATGGCAGTACACTCTACTACATCCACACACTTCCTGTTAAATCTGGGACAGGACGTGCAACACTTAGGTGCACTCTGGTACTCATATGAGAAGTGTAAGATGCTAACAGTTAGTATAGTGTCCAAAAGAAAATTTGGCAAGGTGATACAGCAGATGGAGTCAAGATGGCAGCTGATGGATTATAGTGCTAGCAAAGTCTTCATCTTTATCTCCCTTAAAGCCAACAGGCAAAACATGTACAGTGTGTGCAACTGAGTGTTGGGCTGTTGCTGCAGGGGTGTATACTCACTGGGGGTGAGAACTGGGACCATTGTGCCTGTTTGCTTCGTGTTCTCTGCCTGACACAGCTGGAAGCTGCCACATCTGAGCTCAGCAGTGATCCACATTTTGTGCTTGCTTTTGCAGAACTGTGAGAGCATCAGAGGGTCCCATCTACAAAGGGGTCTGCAAGTGCTTCTGCCGCTCCAAAGGCCACGGCTTCATCACCCCTGCAGATGGAGGGCCTGACATCTTCGTGCACATCTCTGAGTAAGTCTGGGCAGCCAGGGAAGGCTGGAGCTTTGCTTTCCCTTAATTACTGGATGCTTTTCATGTTTTGGGTACAAGAGTGGTTTATAGTCTGTCACCATTACCTCAGCAAAGAGGAGTTATGCAGATATTACTGGCAGTGACAGATTATGCTGTTCTTTTCCTGGATTACTATAAATCTGTCAAGTTAAACTAGAAGATGATCTTGTCAGATCTCTTAGAATAAGTTCTGCAGTTTCCCCTGGACCCAGGAACCTGCATTTACCTGAAACAAATCATCTATGTAGTACGCAGTTTTAATGTGAAGATTTATAACACTGAATATTCACTGCTTTCACTTTACACTACTTGTACCATTATTAAACTAAGGCTAATTATCTTTACTGTTAAGAAAAGTCATACTTTCTTCCTTGAATTTACCTAGTTTCAGTTTTGAACAGCTTATAGCTACATCTTTCTCTGTTAAAGGGTTCATTAGTCCCTCTACTTTTTTGCCTTGAACACAGAGAACCATCACCTTTGAATCTACCTTTTGATAAACTAAACAGATCAAGCTTTTCAGGTCCCTCACTGGGAACTTTTTCTCCAGTCTAAAACAATCTTTCCAGTCTCTTTTCTAAGTGAGCCGTAGAAGTTAAATATTTTACAACAATACACTGTACACACTTTTGCTATATGAGGATAAAAATCTTCTCCAGACTCCTGCTGTTTCTTTCTGTACATCCCATAATCACATTAGCCCTCTCATCCCTAGTCTCTTGTCGAGTTGCCTATCTGCTCTGACCTTGGCACCCTCTGCAGCATCAGTTTGGTACAGTCCCAGGTACAGTCTGGCATCCCCAGCAGCAGTGTTGGCACTCCTTGTTCTTAGATGGATGACTTCACATGGGTTGTGCTCAGAACATCTCATTGATGAGGTCCTGCCTGCCACAGGATCCACTCCACACACCCTCACTCTGCTGCCTTTGTTACTTACTGCTTGGCTGATCTGCAAGGTTTGACAGACAGTTTGTATTTGTTCCTAGATGGAGATGTGGCCAGCACTGGGGCAGAAACTGGTCTCTGAGGGTGTGTTTTAAAGTCACTCAATGTTTGTTTTCCAATAACTTCTTTTAGATCTGTCACCATTTTTCAGCCTAGGCACTGTTTACAGTGTAGAAGCTGTATAATCCTTATTTGTTGTTTGGAGTGGTTATCCAGTGATAAGTCAACAAAAGCCTTACCAAAGTTAATCACATTGTGCCCCAGCTGTCTTCATGCTTGTGTGTGGCATGTGTCCTTGGAGACAGAGCACACTGGGCTTCTTCCAGCTTTCTGAACTGGTGCTGCATGGTGGGAGCTGGCAAGCCAAGGCTCTTTAGGACTCGTGGGCTGGGTGGTCTGGCTTGGGTGGTCTGACTTAGGTGTTCAATCCAAGGAAATGTTATTTAATGTCTTCTTTTTCTTTTGTCTAATACCAATGCACAATTTCTCATTATTTCCTGAATAACTTAAAAATAAAGTTTCTTACATCACAATTTAAAAATTTTACTGTGAACAGCTAGTCTGACCTCTAGTTACTTTTGTATTCTAGTTATTCTAGTATTTTATAATATTTATCCAGTTACTGATGAGCAGGGGTTTAGTTACAACAGAAATATGAATTCCCAGCCCTCTAATGAATTCTTTTTAAAGCCCTGTCTATTTTCAGTCCTAATTTTTCCTCTACATTTTCTCTTCCAGTTAGTTCAGTGGAATATTCTTCAGTTATGTGAAATTAACCCTTTTAAAACCCTAGAGTTAACCTTTTGACTGGGGCTGCCCTTTGTTTCTCTGTACAACATCTGAACTAATCTTTCAGGTGCTCTCCAGTTTCTGTAGCTCAGCAGATCTTTCTCTCTGGGCTCAAACCTGACTACTTGATTCTGGGTATAGCAATTGCTCCTACCCTCCATCCCCCTCCAGTCAGCCACAATTCTCAGAACTTCCAGTGATGATTTTGTTTGCCTATTTGAGACTCCCATATGGCTCCTGTACTGAAATCCTTGGACATATGAAAGCATTTTTTTGTCTGCTGTGGTTCTGCTGGTCTGTGTGAGAGGCCCCCTCGTACATGGGCAGTGCTGGTTGGCCTGTTGATCCCGTGTGCTTTCAGAATGCTTTGCCTGTGAGCCATCAATAACTGTGTTTGAGTAACTGTGCCCTGAATGTGGTGTGCCACCCTCCCCTTTCCTCCATGCACCCCATCTATTGAATGAGCTGCCAAGTTCATGGGCAGCCACACTTCTTGATGTATTTTCAGCATGTTTATTTTGCTGCTGCGTGTCCAGTTCTCTACTCACTCTCACCCTCCCCTGGCCATGCCCTCAGACCACCCCTGCATGGGAGAGCTAGAGGAGATATGGATGAGAGGGAGAGAGCTGCTGGGTGGGAGAGGGTGATGGGCTCTGGCCCACTCAGGTACAACCTTCAGCCCAAGCTCCAGCTTTCCATCTCAGCTTAGAGCCCTACCTGCTGGACCTGGCTGCTTCTCTTTGGTTTTAGGTACTCATTTCAAGCTAGTGCTGACACAGGTGGGGAGCTCTGTGTGCCATGCTGCAGTCTGCTGCAGTCTGCTGCAGTCTTCTTTGGCATGGCAGCTGCTGAAATTTCCTGTAGATGAGAAGATGGGAGGAGACCTCTACCCTGATGGCTGCCAGAGAGTGCCTGTGCCTTTCTGGCAGATACTTCATCCAAAGCACTCTTAACAATGTGAGTGCTGGGGATCCACTGCCTCCCTGTGCAGTCTCTTCCTGTAATTAACAGACCTGGCTCTTAATTGCACCTGATGTTTAACTGACATCTCCTTTGCTTTCAAAATGGCACTTCACTCCTTCTATCTCTACAAATGATGCCTTTCCTCTTCCAACCCATCACTTGTGTGTTCAAAGACTGTTTTCCTTGCTCTGTCAGAAACATTTTAGCAAGGTTGGTTCATACAGATTTTGTAGGGCTGAAGGATGTGCTTCATGCAACTTTTCTAGGCACAATTCTGCTCCTTTGAAGCCAATGGGATTTTTTTTTTCCTCTTGAACAAGGACTGGGCCACTGTTTTCAATGTTTATGCAGGTACTGTCTCAGAACTTAAATTCAAAAATAGCTGATGTTTCTGCCTTAATCTGTTAGTAAAAAGTGCAGTTATTGAAGTACTGAAGGTTTCAGCACATTGTGTTCCTTAATTACTCTGAATGTGTTTGAATTGTTTGAAACAGCTTTCAGTGCTAGAGGGTGACGGGATCACTGTCTTAATTCTGATTCAAGGCAGCACTGGAAAGACAAATTAATAATGCCTTTCATTTCAGCTTATTTCACAGTGAATTAGAAACATTGCACTTGATTAATGGGAGGTGCTTATTGTAGCAGCATTCTCTAACCATGGCTGTGGCTCAGGAAACTCCAACAGTTAGTTTCTGTAGTGTGTTTTCAGGTACTGCTTATCTTTATCACACAATTTTCTACCTATTTTACTCAGTTAAACCTGAATGCAAGAGAGACATCCATTTGCTCACTGTCTGGGTGCAGTACAGGTATATACTTGTGAAATAGGATTGTTTCTCCTGGATTAGTTCTGCCTAAAGCTAAGATTTCAGTGACATGGATAAAATGGTACTGCACTTTGGATTCAGCAAGACAGACTGTTCCTGTGTTCATCACTAAGCTGTGATGATTAGGAAGGTGGTGAGCATTGGGACAAGCTGCCTGTCTTGCAGTTAATGTTTTTAAATATAAACATTTAATTTGAGGAATTAATTTTTTTTTTCTTCCCTAAGCTTTGGGGAGCTGTAAGGTTACACTTCAATGAAAGTGTCTTCTGTGAAGTGGGATGTCTGTTCCCCATAGCTTCCCATTTATTTTGGTAAGATGATAATGCTTAGCAAGGTGTTTCCATTTCCATAAGTCAGCATTAGCCTAAAAATAAGGTTAAGTATATGTGGCATTCAAAAGCTTCCTTGCTAGGCATCTGCAGAATTCAGCATTTCAGTATCTGTGGGAGAAGTTAAGGTGAATATGGGCATGTGGATGTGTTTTATGAGTGGAAGTGGCAGCAAAGCTGCATTGCTGTGAAGAGTGGGCCTTGTCAGGTCTTGTAGATATACACTGCAAGAAATGCCAGTTTGAAATGCAGGTTTGAAACTGCAATGCCACGGGCACGTGGCCTGGCACAGCAAGGGGGCTGCCACAGCCCTGCCACCCAGCCAGGGGTGCTGCCACAGCCCAGCTGTGCCCAGTTTAATACTTCCCCCACCCCCAGGGCAGGAAAGAAAATGCACCTGCTAGTAGTGACTGTAGAACCCCAGCTGGCAAGCATGGGGAGGGAGGAGTTGCTGAGGTGGTAATGCCAGGTAATGTCTCTGGAAAGCTGGAAGCAAAGGCAAATTCATTTACCTGGAGTGAAATTTTTTTAAACACCCTTCATTACATTTTTAATAGTGATGTGCACCATTAATGCTTTCACTTCCACCAGCCTGTGTCATGTTCTGCTGTCACCATTTTGATGGTGTTATTGTAGCATCAGTGCTGAGGACTGTATCCTCCTCAAGATCTCACCTCCTCTGCTCCTGCTCCATACCAGGAGTAGGTCAGTTCTCACAGAGATGAACCACTTTGGCTGTTGGGATGTAATGGCTCTGGTGACTTCAGCTCCACTCTTTGCACTCTTCCTGTAGACATGGCATGTTTTGGGAGAGCAGAGGGGGAATCCCTGCAGTGCTGGCTGCTGAGGTCCCATGCCTTGGACAGGAGTGGCTGCCTGTACGCACAGGTTTGTACCAGCTCACCTTCCAGAGGGGTCCTGAGGCCATGGACCCAGGGGGATGAGGGGAGGTGGGCTGTGGTGCCTGTAAGGTGGCTCAGTGTGCTTTAGAGCACTGCTGAAGAATCCCACTCTGTGCTTTCCCAGTGCTTTTAGGAGTGGGCACTTCAGAGATAGATACTCATTTAGTCTCTGGCTTTTGCATTTGATTGGGATTTGGCCTGAAGCC